GGAATTCTGGGAGTTGAAGTCCACAGGCCTTAAAGTTGCCAAGGTTGGACACCCCTGGTGTAGACTTTCATGGGAAACATCAATGAAGCCAAGATGAACTGTGGGGTAAGGACCACAGCCAAATTGCCTTTCGTTCGGGCGGCCATTCTCTTTCTCCGCTCATCACAACTTTATTAAATGAGGGATATTTGACTTCAGAAGTTGTGGGTCTCCAACATTGGAGATTTTAAAGAAGAGATTAGATAACCATTTGTCTGAAATGGGATGGGCTTTCTTGTTTAAGCAGGACTAGAAGACTTTCTCAAAAACTTTGGCCACCTCATGAGAAGGAAGGACTCACTGGAGAAGAGCCTAACGCTGGGAAAGATTGAGGACAATAGAAGAAGGAAGGGACGGCAGAGAATGAGGTGGCTGGACGGAGTCACTGAAGCAGTCAACGTGAGCTTAAAGGGACTCCACAAGATGGTAAAGGACAGGAAGGCCTGGAGGAACGTTGTCCATGGGGTCACGATGGGTCGGACATGACTTCACAACTGACAACAACAACAGAAGACTTCCAAGATCCCTTCCAATTCTGTTATTCTGTTTTCACTAGGACTCCTGAATAGCTCCGAGATTGAAATTATAAGGATCGCAAGATCACATCCAAATGTAGCCTCTAATGGAAGCAGAGAAATGCTTTCGATGACTGATTGATTTGGTTGTAGGCTAATCACACTGCACAAGTGAAATTACTCCTAAAGGAAACTCAGGGCTCCGTTTCTTTCGTGGACTAATTTGCACAATGAATTTGCAAGCTGCCAGGCCCTGATGTTAGCATCTAAACCTACATTTCGCATATTAGTAATTTGACAGTAGATGCTTAACCCACAAAGGACTCTCCCTGCGTTTCCCCCCCCTCCTCCTCCTGGGCATCTCCCCAATCCAACCTGGAAAATAATAATCTATTTCTCCCCTCCACTTGATGGCTCATCTTGTTTTGAATGCTTTTGGCTCTTCTTCCCAGGCATCTCCACCTGCTCCTACTTCTTTGCCTTAATCTGCAGGTCTCTGCTTTTTCATTATAGCCTCTCCTGCCCTGTTTTTCTCCTGCATATCCTTCTTGTTAGGTATAACATTGATACCAAATATGGTTTGGGTGAATAAATATATAAAACTTAGATATCATGGTTTAAGTGCTTATCACTTTAAGCACAATGCAGCAGGCAATTAGCCGATTAAGGGTGCGGTTAGAAGTTACAATATAAGGAAGCATTAGAAGCTGGAAAGATTACTGTCTGGCTGTAACTGTCTGTTACTGTAACTGTGTGCTGCTGCGACTAACTGTGATTACTGACTGTGAGTGCCTGTGACTGAACTGTTATTGTTTGCTACTGTTTGCTGATTTACTGCGTAATTCTACTGAATATCCAGCGTTTGTTTCTCTGGAGAGTGAAACCGGAGGAGGAGAAGATATCTTTATCGGCTGATAAAGATATTGCAAGGACTCTTAACTTGGACTATACTAGTGAGTCTTACTGGATGGAAATACTGTGAATGACTTAATGGACTGAATGACAATGCTTAAACTCTAACTGGATTAAAAACTATTTAAAATACAAACAGTGTTTGTGTTCAGTGTGTGCATACTCTGGGGCCCTTCCGCTCTCCTTTGGCTGCCTGGCTTGACTACTGCTGCAATACTCTGCTAGGGGTTAATCCCCAAACCCTAACACTTCTCAGCTCTTTCATTCTCCACTCCTGTTCATCCAGGGTGGGCGATTTCACTAATCCTGGTGACCCCGCCCAAACGGAGTCTCATACGAATGTTTCCACCTGTGTGAGCACCTGAGGAACACAGCACTGTGCGTGTCCAACTGCATTCTCAGTTCGCTTGTTGTGTTGGAAGAGATAGCCATCTGGTTCAGTTCCAAGCCAGGAGAAAGGCCCTGGAGACAAAATGGAGGCTGGAGGCTGATTGGAAAGAGGGTCCATTTATTGATGAACAGAGAACCACATGTTTGTAGCTCTGGTGCAGCTGACCACATGGAATTGAGAGTGTGAGGAGGTATTTATACCTTCTCTTGGGCTTTGCACTTGAACTTCCTGTTCCTGGGCAAGAACATGTATCCTATTGGCTGTTGTCAGACTCCTATGGGGCCATGTACAAATCCTAGGCGTTTGTCTGAGCTAAGTTTGGTTGAAGTTTGAACTGCTGGGGGTGGTGCAATTGAGAGGATGCAATGAAGGGGCTTTGGGCAATTCCTAGTGTAGCTGAGGACTAATCCTACCTTTGTTAGATTTTGAGGGCATGTTCCTCCATTTTGAGGGCATGTTCCTCCATTTCTCAGCCAGGGAAATATAATATATCGCCTTTTTAATATTTCTCAAAATATTAAAGAATATTCATTCTTCTAGGAGAGGGTGCTAACTTTCTACAGCTGCTTCTTCAGAATCTTTTTAAACAGCATGAAGTAGCTTTCATTAATAGAATAATGGATTGATTCATGTCATCCAAATTAAAGCTAATTTAGCAGGACACTTCTGTGCACCCCATTTTTTCCCACTCCCTCATTCTTTGAAAGACGCATTGAATGACAATCCACAGATCTTAACATGCTAAAACCAGGCACAAATGTTGCTCTCCTACCTCAGTGCTGGAAGTTCAAAAAAGCTCCTCACTCTACCCTAACCCTAACCCTTCACACAAAGGGGAAAATGTTCTATATTTAGGCAAGAAAAACCAAATGTGCAGGTATAGAAGAGGCAGCACTTGGCTCAATAGGTGTAACTGAGAGAGGGATCTTGGAGTCCTAGTGGACGATCACTTGAATATGAGCCAGCCATGTGCTGTAGCTGCCAAAAAAGCTAACACAGTCCTAGGCTGTATAAACAGAAGGATAGAATCAAGATCATGTGAAGTGATAATACCACTTTATCATGCCTTGGTAAGACCACACTTGGAATACTACATCCAGTTTTGGTCACCACAATGTAAAAAAGTTGTTGAGGCTCTAGAAAGAGTGCAGAGAAGAGCAATGATTAGGGGATCTGAGGCTAAAACTTTTGAAGAACAATTGCAGGAATTGAGTATGTCTAGTTTAATGAAAAGAAGGACTAGAGGTGACATGATAACAGTGGTCTAAGGAGCTGCCACAAAGAAGGTCAACCTGAAACATCTGCTTCCAAAACACCTGAAGACAGGACAAGAAGCAATGGATGGAAATTGATCAAAGAGAGAACCAACCTAGCACTAAGAAACTTTCTGACAGTGAGAACAATCAACCAGTGGAACGGCTTGCCTTCCGAAGTTGTGGGAGCTCGATCACTGGAGGTTTTCAAGATGAGATTGAACAACCATTTGTCCGGAATTGTAGAAGGTGTCCTACTTGAACAGGAGGTTGGACTAGAAGACCTCCAAAGTCCCTTTCAACTCTGTTATTCTGTTATTCTGCTTGCCCCCTTCGTCCATGTCTTTACTCATGTTATATTTGTCTGCCCAAACGCAAATAAACAAATGAGTAAATAAGAGGAAGAAATCCCATCATTGGGAAGAAGCGATCCATCAGGCGGCTGCCTCTCTCCTTGAAAGACCTGTTAGGATATCTGGGGGCTGAGGGGCAGGGAGCAGCTAGAGCTCTTACAAATGAGGAAGCAGGTCACCCACAAGCTTCCCACAGCTGCAGCAGTTCAAAGAAAGACCAGGTTTTCTGTGGTTTTCAATAAGCCACAAACATAGTCAGAAAGAATCAAACCAAAACAGTGTGGTGAGATCACCCAGGTGGAAAGCTCATTCTATAACAGTGCAAAGATCATCCTTTTGGAGGTCTGGATACGGATACATCACACTAGAAGTAAGTTCTGGACAGGAAGCCGAATTAGATAACTCTAAAGTGGGTTATTGAAATGATTTTCCCAGTTGAGCTTTCTACCCTGAAAACGCCTGATCTCGTCTGATCTCGGAAGCTAAGTTAGATGATTGTGTAACTTTGTTCACTCTGGAATTTCTGTTGTTGGCATAATGATGATTCTTTGCTGACAAAGCTACCGGTGAACTCTGTGTTGCGTAACCCTAAAAGAACTATCTATCCTCAGAAAAAAAAAAGTCTTGAGAAGGAGGCCTTAGATTTGAAAGGACTCATTGATTCCGGTAGGGTCAAACCTCCTATGGAAGAGGTATCCTGTTTGAGGCAGGTATGAGTTAGAATATGTTTGGAATCCCCTTCTATTCAGCACTCATATTTTCTTGTTTTGAAGCTATCTTAATTTTATTTCTAAGCACTCTTTCTAGTTTTTCAGAAACAAAGGTTAAATGTCCTAAAACAATATTTCTTCTAGCCTTTCTCCCCATTTTGTAAAATATTGCATAGACACGTATACAGCAGGCTTATGTGAAATAGCTAGCTGTAATTGGCCATACTGGAGGCTTACTGGAGAAGAGGAAAAAACCTAAAGCATGGTTTGTTTTGTTATTTATTATGGTTTTCTTTCCTTTTGGCCTTTGGGGTTAATTTTGGAACAGAATAAGGGCTTGACTAAATAAAAAAAGCCACATTTTTTCCTCAGATGGTAAGACATTGCCTGTTGATCTGAGACTGCCAGCCTTGGCATGCATTAGAAGCCACAATGACATCATGTAGGTCAATTCTACAAATTATGTCCATTCCAAAATTCTTGTCATTTGTACAATGACCTCATGACATTTGTGATGTCATCCCGCTCTTGCCTTTGAGGAAATGGTTGGTTCTATCAACTCTTTATGAGGTGAAGAGAATGGAGGCCAAGATCCTGTTTCCTCAGATCTTCAGTGTGGTTCAGAGAGCTGTGGTAAAATCCTCTTCAGCTTCATAGGCTCAATGGATGACCTTTTCCTGATGGGTCTACCTACAGAAGTGATCACTTGCTCAATGAGATTCATGGTTGCCATATCTCTCAGTCTTCCAATTGCTGGGGATAATGAGGAACCCAGATGCCTTTCTGGTTTTCCCAACTTGTATGGGGAAGAGACCAAAACCGGGTTGCCATTTTGTGCACTCAGTCAAATAGAGTAGGAGTTTCCCACCCTCAACAGCTTTAAGTTGTGTGGACTTCAACTCCTAGTATCCCCCAGGCAGACTGGCTGGCTGGGGAATACTGGGAGTTGAAGTCCACACTTCTTAAAACTGCTGAGGTGAAGAAACTCTGAAATAGAGTTACAGCTGTTGTTTTTCATCCTCCCTTTAAACAATTTAAACAATTATACCATGGAACTGCCATATTGTCCAAAGAATGCTGAAAAGTACATGAAGGGAGTAAATGAAACCATGCCATATGCCATGAAAACAAAATACATCGCTGAGTTGAATAATATAACTGTCCTTGCAATTTATCAGCCTGGCTTTTTCAGTTGCACATCTCAGCTCACAAGTAGACAATGGCCTCTATTATTTCATGATAGAAAACAAGACAGAAAAAAAAGAAAGGAGACTTCCTTTTGAAGGAAAGTTGTGATTAAGAGGGCCTGAATCAATTATTTGGGAAACTAATATCTAACCCTTTGAAAAACTGAAAGAATGCCTTTTATCCTTCAATCAATTGATAGAAATGCAGATGATATGCCTAGATGGTAGGTATGGTAGATAGATGATAGATAGATAGATAGATAGATAGATAGATAGATAGATAGATAGATAGATAGATAGATGATAGATAGATAGATAGATAGATAGATAGATAGATAGATAGATAGATAGATACAACAGATATAGAGATAGAGACTGAGATAGAAACATAGATAAATAATAAGTAGACGTTATAGATAGATGATAGATAGACAAATGATAGAGACAGACAGACAGACAAACATTTGCCACAAGAACTATCTTAGAGAAATGACATACAGCAATCTAAGATAATTTATTTATTTATTCAACTTGTATGGCTACCCATTCAAACAAATAACTCTGGGTAGTGGTGAACAATCAGAACATTAATTAAAACCAATTAAAAAGCCGGTACAATAAAGTAAATATATACTGCAGCGGACATAAATTTGCAACAGCACGGCCTAAAAAATATTGCGTTGATCGTTAGAGAAACCGTTTTGGCACCTCCATGTATTTATGCCAAGCAAACTTCTTTATTTGAACCTGGTATGGTTAATGCCCTGGAAAAATCTTTCATTTAAGGATTTGTTTAGCTTCTGTGCTAGAATTTAGATTTATTATAAATAGGCTTAGCAATGAGCTGAAATGTCTAAGGAGGGGCCTCTCATGTTATATCCCCAATCCCTTCCTTATGACAGGATTTCAGGTAGATACACAAAGTACCATTCCTGAGAACTGAACCAAGACAGAGGTTTTCATCTCCTCATCCAAGCCTTTTCCAGATGCCACCCCTTGCCTTCCCAAGCATTCCTGGTTCCAACATGGCTTATCCTGAAGCTGTAGCAGTTGCCATACAATGTTCCATCTCCTACCTTTCATGAAAAGCGTCAAGGCCACCAGAAGGACAGATGGGCTCATCTCGAGTTGAAGGTAGGCACCCATCATTACGTCGTCCAAGTCCCAACCTTGCCTTGGTTCTTTTTTCTTTCCCTTTGCCGGTTTTGAGGACGTTCTGCTTCTGTCAAGTCCTTAAAAGATCCAGCTTAAACATTAAATATAAGTCGATGGCTCGGGCAGGGCGTTCTTTCTCATTTCTCAGCCACACCTCCTTAGACTTGGCTGTTCAGCAGCTTCTTGCTTGCCTGGAGGGCTTTCTTCCATACCTCCCATCCCACTCTCTAACCCATCACTTCCCTTTCCCAGCACTTGGAGGCCACTTACTGGGTTGACACCCCTACCGGGAACTAGAACAGCCAGTTGACAGGGGTTTGTGTGTGTGTGTGTGTGTGTTTTGTTTCTTTTTACATTCTTCATCCAGGACTTTGAGGCAGGAGAGATCAGCAATTTAGAGGCAAGTCTGAACTTGGAGAAGCAAGAGATGGCAAAGACGACGGAAGACATGGAAAAGGAATTCTTCTTTTCTCCATCAAGTGAAACCATTTGGGAGGTCATGGCAGGGCTCTGCTTTGGTTGCCAGGGGGTAAACCTCATGTATATCCAAATACGGAGTTCCTAAGGCTTTTCTATCTTTTCAGAAAGGAATACAGGTCTTCCCCTGTATTACAACCATTTGTTTAGAGAACATTTGAAGGTACGGGAAAAAAGGGACATGACCGTTTTTTTCATACTTACGGCCATGGCAGCATCCCCAGAGTTGATGTGATCAACGTTTGAATGCTTGGCAAATGGTTCCTATCAGCAGTGGGTTCCTACCTGTTTCATTACCGGTTCAGTGATCGCGCGTGCGCACTTAAAGTGCACGTGCAGCTTTGCCCACACCAGCTGAGGCCTGCAGTGCCAATGAGTTTGAGAGGATGAAGAAGAGAAAAGCGCAAAGGTGGGAGGGCCAATCCTGCACTTTTGTCTCCTTTCTCCTGTCAGCTGATTGGAGGCCTTTACCCCTCCACTCAGTTGATCGTTGGAGGCTTTTTTAAACTACCCATTCGGCCGAACGGGTAGCATACCACTACTGGTTCCTATTTATGACAGTGGCAGTATCCCAGGGCCATGTCATCCCCCTGTGAGAACTTCTGACGAGCAAAGTCTATGGAGAACCCACTCAGCAATCTTGTTCCTCACTTAAGAATTGTGGTGATTGGTTTAACAACTGTGGCAAGAAAAATTGTAAAAGCTCTTTTAAGAAGTGCCTCACTTACCAACAGAAATTTTGCGTTCAATTGTGGTCATACCTCAAGGATTACCTATTTAGTCCTGCTTCTCTTACTGAACCAGCCCTTCTGGTGAAAAAGGGATTTATGGAAACTTAGTTTGCCCAACAGTTAAGTGTATCCAAGGGAGGTACTGATACCACTCTATAAAGCCTTAGTAAGACCACACCTAGAGTACTGCATCCAGTTTTGGTCACCACATTATAAAAAAGGTGTTGAGACTCTAGAAAAAGTACAGAGAAAAGCAACCAGGATGATTAGGGGACTGGAGGCTAAGGCATACGAAGAACAGTTGCAGGAATTGGGTTTGGCTAGTCTAGTGAAGAGAAGGACCAGGGGAGACAGGATAGAGGTCTTCCAATATTTGAGGGGCTGCCACAGGGAGGAAGGGGGTCAAGCTATTTTCTAAAGCACCTGTAGGCTAGACAAGGAACAATGGATGGAAACTGAACAAGGAGAGATTTAACCTGGAAATAAGGAGAAACTTTCTGACAGTGAGAACAATCAACCAATGGAACAGAAGTTGCCTTCAGAAGTTGTGGGAGCGTCATCACTGGAGACTTTCAAGAAGAGATTGGACTGCTATTTGTCAGAAATGGTGTAGGATCTCCCGCTTGGGCAGTGGGGGGGTTGGACTAGATGACCTACAAGGTCCCTTCCAACTCTGATTATCTGTTATCTGTATCCACACCGTGTGATCCAAGAACTCAGGTGGTTGGTCATGAAAGTGTGATCCAAGCACTGTCTGTTTTTAGTTTAATGCACATCTTCTTTGACCAAAGCCTACAGACACTTCTGCCCACCAGCATGTAGATGCTAAACTTTGTAAAGCAGCCTGAGATGCTTCCAGACTTTGAAAACTATTCCCAGTTCTCTAAAAGAGGAGGCTGTGGTTGTATGGCATGTGTCCAGGGAAAAGAATATGCAATTTATAGGGATATATTAAAAAGAACTTTGGAATGATTTTAACAGAAAGGCTAAAGCGAAGCAGCAGCAGAAGAGATGGAGAAATAAAGTCAGGTTTTAAATAATAGGCTTGGTGGGAGAGGAATGGCGTTGATAATTAAGTGATCCTTGAGGGAATAAAGGATGATCTATATACAGTTAAACCTGTAGTTAACTCCTCTCTTGAGTTTGGACATAATCAACCTCACCTTCCATTACTTGGTAAGTAAGAATTGTGGAAAGACTGGTCGTAACTATTGTTATCTTCTCCTTCCTTCCCACTTTAGAAGGCTATTTTGTTTTATTTTTATCGGTTTTTGCTCAGGTTCTGTTCCTCATTTCTGCCCAAGGTTATGTAATAGCAACGGGAAATCTGGGAGGCAGACCAATCTGTTAGTGTCGTATTTTTTGCCCCTTTGAATTTCTTACATCTCAAGTTCTTTCCTTCACGTTTCACAAAGAAACGTAGAGACTCCCAACAAATTGCTCTCTCTTCTTCTCTCTCTTTCCCTCACTTTGCGCGTGAGGGGTGGCTATATAGATGTGATAAATAAACAAACAAACAAACAAATAAATAAATAAATCCTTTTTCTTCTGCACCAGCTGAATTCAACTGGTATCTAACTCCAGATAGTGGTTCAACCTGAAAAACGCGTTGCAAACAGAACACAACAAAATTTAAAAAACCGGCTGGCAATTCTAATATAGTCACACAAGCCTAACCAATGGCAGGACTGGCAACCTCAGCACAATAACAATAACACCAAAATCATCATTAAAAGAAAAAAAAAACAATCTCTGAAATTTTTACTTTAGATCAGGGGTGTCAAACTTGATTTTATTGAGAGCTGCATCGGGATTGTGTTCAGGAGTGGGTTGCTGGGGGTTCGCAGTGGTTTCGGAGAACCTCTAGTTAAGTTTCTGCGCAGTTCAGAGAACCCCCAAATCCCACTCCTGGCTGGCCCTGCCCACTCCACCTTGCCCCTCCCAGGAGACCCCACGTGGCCCGTTTTGGATGCAGTTAAGTGCAGGGCACATGCGGAGGCTCGGGGAGGGCCAAAAATGGGCCTCTCGGAAGTTTGGGAAGGCCGGAAATGGGCCTCTTTCCGGCTTCCAGAGAGCCTCCAGTGCCTGGGGAGGCTGTTTTCACCTTCCTGGAGGCTCGAGGAAAACCTCCGGAGCCCGGGGAGGACAAAAATGCCCCCACACCATGGTGCAGGAGGCCGACTAAGGCCATGCCCACCCAGCAAACGGGCAGAGAACCTGCAGCTAAAACTTTTGAAGCCCACATATAAAATGGACAAAATCCACTTAACAAAGGTCTCGCTTAGCAACAGACATTTTGGGTTCAATTGTGGTCGTAAGTCGAGGACTACCTGTACCGGTACAAGGAAAATCCTACGGAAGTCTGTTTTGGGTTTGGCATCTGATCACAGCTCCCACCAAAAATATAGAAAACCCAGTTAGATCTTCTGCCTTCAAGGACAGCGTCAAGAGATCTCTGAGCGAGATTGTACTGAAGCCTGGGTTGGGTGATCTCATGAAGTTTCGTGTGTAAAATCCTTCTGCCCAGGTCAATGGATAAGTTGGCAACTCTGTCCTGTAAAGGAATGACTCACATATGGCCTCTTTCCCACCTTAATTGTTGTATTAGAGAAGACACGGTGTCATCTCTATTACTCAGCAGCCCAGCTTGAGTCAACAACTGGGCCTCCAACTACTCCTGCATTGGACATGCCAGAACAAGAACATGCTTCATCATGCAGGCTGAAACTTCATAGAATGAGTACAGTTAAATAAATATGTGTGAGGCACAATAATCGAAACTTAAAATGAGGTCATGGAAGAAAGTGGGGAAGAGAAGACAACGGTGTAAGTCAGAATACCTGGAACTCTTTCTAAGGGTGGCTACACTCTGTGGCTTTAGGTCAGGGGCCTTCAAACTTGACAACTTTAAGACTTGTGGGCTTCAATTCCCAGAATTCCTTCTCCAGTTGCGTTAGCTCAGGAATTCAGGGAGTTGAAGTCCACAAGTCTTAAACTTGCCAAGTTTGAAGACTCTTGCTTTAGGTGACCACATCTGGATCAAAATCTTAGATTTAAAGAGTTGCGTGACAAATAATTCCCAGTTCCACAAGGGGAAGCATTTTTTTTTCAGTCCTTGGTTTTGTTTTTCTTTCTTTCTTCTTTCTCCAGAAGAATTTCAGCCAGTTCTATGACTGTTAAGAGTTTGGGCAGCAAGTTAAAAATAGAAGGTAACATGTTCCAACAATTACACGGCCCTATTTTGGGGGGAAAACTGAGATGAGTTCAACGAGAAATTTACCCTGGAAAGAAAGGATGGGTGCGGTTATAAGCCTCAATGTAGCTTATATACTTTTAAGAAAAAAATAGCGTGATGTTATTCCATATTGTCCCATATTGTTCTCTAGTTAGTTGGGTGGACATTTACCTGTTTCATTGTTAGATTGTTATCCTGCCTTTTGAGAGAAACGGGTTTTTCTGGCATTTGTCACTGTGTTCTTCTAGAATGAATTGTGTGTAGGTGCGATGGATAAATGTGGAGGAAAACTCATAAAAGTGAGGTACATTTTCCTGAGAGTAGCGTTGACTAAACTCATTAGAGCTTACTTCCTGTGAATATAGAGTGAGAATATTCTTTCAAAATTCCAGTTGTGTAGTTTGGTACTAGTTTTTCTTCTTCTTACTTTTTTTTTTACACAACATTTAGAAAGCATGTGGGAGGGTTAATTAATTAATAACGAATTAGACATATCATCAAATCAAATCTTTATTATGGTCACAGACCAGCATGAGAAGGGTAAAATGCAAACAATTTGAAATGCTAAAAATATAAAATGTGCAAAAGTTTAAAAAAATTAACATATACACATGCGCGCAAATCTAAAAAAACAAGCAAACAAAAAGGGATAAAAAGCATTAAGTAAACATTTAAAAAAACTATGATTAGCCAAGCTAATTAAATCTATCATAATATAAACCACTCTGATCTAACATGTTAAATATATAAT